ATGAATGTAAAAAAGAGGGGTGTTGGTGGTAGTATAGGTTAGTATCAAAACCACCAGTTGCATAAGGAATTAACCTTAATACCTTAGTCAGAATCTTACAAGCATCCTTTCAACAAAAATCATTAGTTAGTTTTTATTTGTATCTTTTTTGTAAAATTATGATCATTTTTCTGCAATAGGTCATTGTCGGATGAAAATTTGGCAAAACAACTGTCCGGTGAGACCTTATTTAATGGAACTAGCTTTCTTATGGCGGTAGGCTTCTAAATGATTAGTTACTTCTATGCAGTATGGTTAAGTACATCCGCTTTCTTACAAGTAAAATGTAAAGAATTTTTTCCTCTCGACACTCCACTAGAGCCATGCCCCCAGGTTTACATGGATAGTGTGAGATATTGCAGTATTTTCTTTTTCTTGTACTCTGCTTCTTTACTCTTTAAAAGCCTCCTTTCCATAATGCCACCAGTGCCGAGTTAGCTTACGTAGCGAGGCCTGTCATTCACGTCAGGACTACGACAAATCGGGGTGCATTATTATTGCCCAACAATAAATAGTTATAACGTCTCCATATATGCTTTTGGTTTGTTTCTTTTTGTTTTTGTCAAGGTGGTGGTGGTGGTAAATGTCTTGCAGCGATTTCGTACAACTTTATTCATGTTACTGCCACCTTTTCATTAATATTTCAAGTTAGTTTTAACTATTTTTTTTTCTTTAATGTTGCAAAATAAGGCCTATTCTTTCTATATGCAATGTTCAAAATACGTCCTACGCTTATGCATTTCGAAATATTTGCAATACAGCATGTTGAAGAATCATATTACCGATGAAACATATTGTCTATGCACACGTTGGGCGTACAGTAGAATTTAAACTTTGTTAAAAAATTATTTTAAGTTTGCAGTAGTGAAACGGTATCACTATTGTTTTGTGTTTAGGCTCTGAGATTTCTTTAAGCTATATTAGGAATGAGAACGTAATTTTTCTGTCAGTACAAGAAGACTAAGTTTTATGTATCTCCAAGTTAAATACAGCCTATTTGTTATTAGGAAAATAAACAAACACCTACCCACACCAAAAAATAAAACAACCATCAAAACTGATAAAATGAATTCTTCCCTTGATGTATATTAAAAAAAAAAGACCGGGAGCGCCAGAAATCGCAAAACCCTTAATGACCCCCCCAAAAAAAAAAAAAACGTCAAACCAAAAAAAACACCTCCCCCAAATAAAGGAAGGAAAAACAACAAAACAAAAGCAAAATAAAAACTAAAACAAAAACTGGCAAACAATTCGTTACACTGTAGGCATTCGGGCGAAGGTGTCTGTTTAAATGAAAATTCCCTAGGTGTTGCTCATCAGTTTATAGATTACCCTGAAAAAACGTGAAATATAAATTCCTTTATTTATCGTACTAAATGATCTGCTTTCGTTGTTTAGAGTAATGTGTACTGTGAATATACCACTGTTTAACATAGTTGCTTTGTTTGATTTATTTGTATGATCTCTCTCCCACCCTCCATTTCCTATATTTCTGATTCCAACAGCTCTTGCTAAAAAAGGATAGAAAATGTGTTTCCAGCTGAATCACTCCTACAACGCATACAATTATCCGCTGTAGATACAGCAAAGCAGGACTTGTGTAAAACTAATAGGACACCCAAACTATAGCAATAGCAGAACCTGTAGATGGCTCCTTTTTTTTCGTGATAGTATAAACATTTTAAATAGCGAATGAAAGACGTCAAAGTTGAGGGTTTTATTAAATGCTTTTGAATATATCTGGCGGAGATGAATTTACAGATGTATGATATACACTAGCGAAGCTGCTGTCATTTCTCCTCATGCATCACACTTCAGCTGCTTAATAAACGTCGTGATTCCCACTTAAAATAGTTATACCTTTGTATGGTATTCATAACTAATGTCCAGCTTCCATGTCACAAGCGAAGTTAACTGGCCATAGCACGAACTTGATAACTTGTACAATAACATCATCAAAGTTTGAGTCAATCAAGACAGACACCATGGGTTGCGGCGGAACGTAACTAAATGTATTATTTATGTCTGCATGTATTCTACATGTCTGTGCGTGTTCTATATGTATGTGTGTATTCTACGTGTATGTGTCTATTCTACATATCTACGTAGAAGCTACTGAACTGTATGACACTAAATTAAATTAAAATACAAGACAATTATACAAGTTATGCTCTTTCAACCTGTTACGAAATGATACGTTACTCCCGAGGCGTTGCTATTGACGTTAATGTACATTGAAACAAACCAACGTTTGTTAATGAGGTTAATGTACATTGATACAACCGCATCAGTGTTAATAATGTTAATGAACATTGATACTAACCCATCTGTGTTAATATGTTAATGTTCATTGTTTCAAACAGATCTGTGTTAATGACATTAATGTACATTGATACAAACCTACCCATGTTAATGATGTTAATGTACATTGATACAAACCCATCCATGTTAATGTACATTAATGCAAAAACCCATTGGTGTTAATGATAATAATGTACATTGATACAAAACCATCCGTGTTAATGATGCTAATGTACATTGATACAAACGCATCCATGTTAATGATGTTAATGTACATTGACACAAACCCATCCGTGTTAATGATGTTAATGTACATTGATAAAAACTTATGATGTTAGTGTACATCAATGTTAATGATGTTATTGTACATTGATCAAAACCGATCTGTGTTAATGACATTAATGTACATTGATACAAACCCATCCGTGTTAATGATGTTAATGTACATCGATACAAACACAATAAGTTTTAGTGATGTTAATGTACATTGATAAAAGCCGATATGTGCTAAGAAGGATAAAGTCGTTATCACCAATTAATTCAAGTCTGTAAAATTAGTTTTGATCTGCCATCTGTCAGCTTCAAATACGCAAAAGCAGCTTAGAGAGCTTTCCCGAAGTTCCATCTCTGGATCGAACTAGTAGATCCATTTGGGGCATAAAAAAGCAAGGAGAACCAACCATAGACTGTGATGATTTAACACCTTTCTCTGGCCTTGAATTCATCAAAACGACTCTAAATCGTTTCCAAACTTCAATCGGTGTCGTTTAGGCAATATTTATAACACTGTTGGCAATCTATTCCTCACATTACATAATGTTATGACAAAAAGCGTGATTGAGATCTTTCAGCAAGGAATTAAACTAGTTGTCGTTAAAACGGGCATTTCTCTTTTTACATAAAAAGTTTTAAAACTTCAAAGAATGTAATTTGACCCCTTTGTGACTTTTCCTTTGACTTTTATAAGAAAATAATTTTGGTGAAAGTGAAGTAGTCAGAGCGCGAGGGTTTTAATTTGTCCGATGACAATGTTCTTTAGTTGAGCCCCTAGTTTGCTACAAACAACATGTTTAATGTCAGTTACAACCTCCTAAATATAAGTTTTGATAACAAGAGACACCGTCACATTAAGATGAGAAGAAATATTATGAAAGTTTGATTTTTAAAAAGGCCCTGACGGCTTCCCTCCTCTTCGCCTGGGGCACCTCTCCCCGCCTACTCGCACCGCCACTCAAGTGAAGATATGAAGCCGATATTTCTTGTTAAATGACGCGGTATTTGTCAATGTAAATGTTGAGGTACTATATACCCAACTTGACTTTCTGTTACAACTCATGTGGCATCCCTTTACATGGTAAGTAAAAGATATTATAAAACACATTAAATCAAAATTGGAATAGTTTTATAGCGATAGATCAAAATTGGAATAGTTCATAGTGTTAAATCGTAATTGGAATAGTTTATAATGTTAAATCAAAATTTGAATATTTTTATGGTGTTAAATCCAACACTGAATGTGTTGATGTGTCTTTGGTCCGCTGTGTCGTAGTCAGTAATATATTTCTAGGTTTGAATTCACTATAAATCCCAGTGAATATCTCTGTCAAAGAATATTACTTTTTATGAGAACTCTGTACTTCCAGAGACATAAATAATATGAAAAAAAATAAATTCCAGGAAAAATTACTTCTAGACACGACAATAATACAAATTTATTCTATTAGATTTTAAAACACGAGTGCATAATTTTTCCAGTGAAAATATGTTATAGTCTTTTACTTGACATCGGGTCTCATTTAGTCTTTCCTAAACGTCACTATTACCGAACGAAAAATAACCTTCTAGAAACTTCTTGATGTTTACAAAATAAAATGTTAATCATAATTAAAAGGTCTGTTACTACCATTATAATACATAACATGAACTATATCAGGTACGCTAGGGTAATTCTAATACCCTAGAACCAGACCCAAATAAACATATTTTCTTTAATAATAATCCTAATGTTAAACCCAAACAAAGAGAATACTTAGATATTTATTTTTTGTTTACAAAAGAAAAGAAAATAAATTATTCAGGTCAAGTAGATAATGAACTTGGTTCTGGACAAGCGTAAGCCCAACATAAATGTTTACTTTACAATTGCAAAGAACACCGACAGCCAGTGATTTACAGCACACAGGGCCGCAGTAATAATGATTAAAGATGTATAATTATGTCATGGTTCCGGTTAGGAATGCGAGTAGTCGCTAAAAAGACATTAAATTATTATGGTAAGGCGTGTATATCAGTATAAGTTTGCAAACTGACCATAGTTTAGATATGCTGAATTCCGATGGATGATATCTGACGTAATAAGAGTGGGAATATTATTCTATCACTGGAGAATAAAAAAAAATTCCTGACACATATTTAAGTCAGGTACTGTGTGTGTGATTTGGAATTTTAACGTAGCATTAAAAAATATTCAGTCATAGCTACGATGTTTGCAGTGTGACAGCTTATAGTGATGACTAACACCGGGACATCATGTCTCAGACATATAGCATGATGTCCAACCCAGTCACATTATCCTGACACCAGACCGACCAATCCTAATACTAACCTCTTAATGCTGAGCGACAAGCGAGGCAGTTGTTAGTACCTTTTTTGTCTTTGGTATGACTCGACCGGGAATCGAACCTACGACCTCCCACATTTGAGGTGGAAGCTCTAATCACTGGGCCATTAGGTAGAATCAGTAGTATGTGTTCATTTAAAGGAAAAAATAGTTCCATACCTGTACTGCATAGTGGAAACCAGCAAAGTCTACAACCAAGACAGTTGATGACCCAAAGAGGCTAGAAGAGTAAGAGGAAGAAGAAAAAAAGAAGTACGGCTACGCCGACATATCACCAACAGTAATTTGAAAGATCGGAAGCAACCCTGTGTTGCTGACATGTCTGCAATTTGAGTTCCATCGGTCACTTGATTATATGAGGAAGTTTTTTATTGGTGTAACCGAACGGTTAATTGAAATTCGCATGAATTTTGGTAACTCTATTTCTAAGAGGAATTGAATCATTAAAATGTCACGTTCAAATTCAATTTGTTTATGCAATTGATTTAATTGTTATATATTACGCACGGGGTGGCTGGGTGGTCGTGTTGTTCTATTCTATATCTCTGTTCAGATCTTTGTTATTATTTACTCGATTCGGGCAGGAACACCGTGGTCGACCATCTCCTAGATAAGAATAAGCAAAACCCATAACAATGTAAAACATCGAGAAAAAAAAAGTATATAACGATAACATTTCCCAACATAAAATGTAGTGCTTTGTGTGACTGAGTACTAAAAATAATTGAACCGATAATTCAGAGCCTGCCAGATCTATTTATTATAAGTAGATCCCGATTATAATCAAACTGAGGGAGGAGGTCGTCGATTCTACAGAAAAAGTCTGCTGTGTCTAAAGATAGTCCAATAACTTCTCAGAAATTAATAGGCAAATTCAAATCGCTCCCAGACAATCCAGAATCTAAGACTCCCACACCAGTTGCATTACTCAATCTGATTCAAATCAGATCTCTGCTGTATTACATGAAGATCTGATAGCAATGCTTACCAGTCATGTTCTGGTGACCTTTGAATAAACCAATGGAAACGCAGCCTTCAGAAATCTAAACGTGAATCAAATCGTTTAATACCTTTCATGTTCTTCAGCCATGGGAGCCGAGTGGTCTTAAGAGCTCACCGTTACTGATCACTGCCAACTTATCTCTGACTGCGTGAGTTCGAAACTCATTCTCAGCTAAAGAAACTTTTCAGCAGCTTCTCGTGGGTGGCTCTTGCTTTGTTTTTTTTTTTCCTGCTTATTCTTCCATGTATAGCCTATCTTGTGCTGAAAATGGCGTTAAACCCCATAACAACAACAAATTCTGAGCCATGCTGAGCAGTCTCACAACACTTCGTCACTGAGTGGAAAGAGCAGCATATGTAGTTTCTTGAGATCACAATGAGCTTAAGTCTTCTTTAATAAAGTCTTAAGATTTTCAAAATTCTGTCAGATCAAAGGAACACTACGGAAACTGCATCGAAACATTTGCTTGAAAACGAATCTAAAAACTGGTGCAACTAACATCAATAATTCTGAAGTGACGAACTCGATCTGAAAAATTAAAGATTTTACCCTGTTAAACGACAAACATTCGCTAAATATGTAAACCAACGTAACGTTTCCATGGAGACTCAGAAATTGAAGAGATAAAAAAAACGATCTGAAGGAAACACTAAGTGATCCACATATGAGATCTTTAAGTGTGTCACAGGAGAGTAAATTCACGACCAGACAAGATCTCAAACCTACGACGTCTAGGTTTGGTCTAGACAGGCGCTATACAGTCAGAGTTATTAGAGGTAAAACACCCGATCCGTTCACGCGACATATCTACTAGTTTATTTTGGGAGATTTTTTGTTGCCGTTGTTGTTTCATTACATTTCCTTACGTCTCCATTATCCATGATATGCAGACCAATATTTTCATACTGAACGTCGTTTTTAAAAGCATAACAAATCTATACTGCATGATCCAACCAATGTCACAGGAGAAGGATCGCTGCCGGACAAGGACTCTTAAGCACGGCCCTACCTAACTATAGACGATACACCATTGCCTCAAATTATTCCCCATATAGAATTTCATATTCTTTGGGATGAAGGAAAAAATCGAAGATACTGAGACTGCTCTGTAAATCTGTATACCAACTGAAATGAAGGTTTCTGAAGATATTAAACTTAGTTTAACATAAGAAACCTTGTAAAAATGCACGGGAATCACAAACCAACAACCGTGCTTTCGTCGCAATGTTTGAGCAACTTAAGGACAGAGAACTCGTGCCAAACGTTGAAAAAATTGAGCCTCAAATCGAGCAGTTCTCTTGAGACTGGAAAGCGAAGAAAAGCCTTTGCATGCCAAAATGAGAGCGGTACGTGAAAGGGATCGAAAAAATATAGTTCTTGAGAAAATGGAATAAAACAACTTCAACAAACAAACAATTCTAACATAGGACGGAATGGATTCTGAAATCTTCGAGATGCAGGAGAACAGCCAAATCCCCTCCAGATGAAATACATATACTGGTCTTCGAAGTGTTTATGAACCTAATTTAAAATTAAATCGTCCGGATTTGTATTTTTCCCATTAGAAATTAATGTTCTTTGCTTGACCGAAACAAAGCTGTTTGATTTGGACTAATTTCAGTTATCAGACTTTACTGCGGTTGTAAGCTTCTGATTTTTGGTCAAGGAGGCATAATAGGAACTGTAAAACAAGAATAAGAAAATTATATATTACAACATTATATACTGAATAAGAACATTTATATATTGAATGAGAACAGTATATATTGAAAGTTTCCATCAGAACAACTTTAATGCCACATTTCCTTTGTCTCTTAATGGTTTATGTTCATGCTTAGATGCCTCCTGATTAATTATAGAAAATTAATTACAAATACCTTTACCCCTTTAACCTCGCAGTAAAAGTTAGATATAGTCCTATCGGAAATTTGCCTCAAAAATTATTGTGGTATTTTTCATTTACCCGTATTTCTAATCAAATGATGGCTTCTGTTTTCTGATGTCCATTATAAAACAAAGGCAATTCAGTTTGCAGCGTCCTCACAACAATTTCATCTTTGGGTCAAGGTTACAGTCATAGAACACTTTTGTTATGATTTCGATTAAAGATTTTGTTTGCTATTCCCTACCCATCCCATCTTTCATGAAGCAAAGACAATTCACTTTGCAATACACTTGCTCGTAGTATGCTTGTATTTACAGGGCAAAATGGAATATAAATTAGTATTTTCAGGGAATAAGGGCTTACTATGTGTTGCATACTGCGCTAGACGTCATATCTTCCAGGTCATAAGCCAGAGCTAACATTATTTTGTTTAATCATACTTTCCTTTCCGCTCAACACCTTTCTGAGCCATTGTATAGTTAATGATTAAATCCGAACATAATGTAACAAGCCTAAGGAATGTGCTATTTATATTTCCGTCTATGTTTATAGCTTCAGTGGTCTAGTGGCTAGAGCATCCGCTTCGGATGCGGGAAGTCGCAGTTTCGAACCCAAGTCGAGTGATACCAAAGACTTATAAAAATGGTACTTTGTGTGTGCGTTTGTGATTTAGATTTTTAAAGTACCTTTTTAACACTTTTTCAGTCATATCGCTACGATGTCCGCAGTGTTACAATTTATAGTGATGTCTAGCAATGGGGTATCATCCTGCAGGCATGTGGTATGATGTCCCACCCTGTCACATTATCCTGATACCAGGCCGACCAGTCCTAACACTAACCTCTTGATGCTGAGCGACAAGCGAGGCAGCTGATAGTACCATTTTTTAAGTCTTTAGTATGACTCGTTTGGGTTTCGAACCCGCGACCTCCCGCATCCGAGGCGGACGCTCCAACCACTAGGCCATCGGAGCGGATCTAAAAATGGTTTTAGCAGCTGCCTCGGTTGGCGTTCAGCATTAAGAGACTGTGTTATAAATGTCCGGCCTGGTTTCAGGGATATGCTGCAACTGGGTGGGACATGACGCTATATGTCTATAGCATGATGCCCACGTGCTAAACATACCTATAAACTGCCACACTACAGATATCGTAGTGATATGACTGAACAAATGTTAAAGCTACATTAAAAACCCAAATCTCTCTCTCTCTCTCTCTCTCTCTCTCTCTCTCTCTCTCTCTCTCTCTCTCTCTCTCTCTCTCTCTCTCTCTCTCTCTCTCTCTCTCTCTCACACACACACACACACACACACACACACACATTTTAGCAACTATTTGCTTCATTATGGAGAATCGGCGATTAAAAGATCTTGTTATGAGAAAGGAGTTTTACTACATAGCCAATCAAACAACTTTTTCGTGAGCTTGCTTTAAAATCCATTGTTTTTCCAATTTCCATAGACTTCAAAACAACAGCCGTTGTGAACTGATTGGTTCTTAGCCGCACGAATACCATACATAGTTTCTCTAATCACCTAATTACTACATCCCACGAGACTCTAATTTCACACTTGCATTTTTTTTTTATTTTTTTTTTTTTTATTTTTTTTTTTCACATTTGAATTTCTCACCAGTAATCCTTTCAGTAGACATACTTCACGAGACACGATCAAAACAACTAACACAAAGAATTTTTCCTATCTCAAACTACTAATCTCGTACACCTAAAACTACTTATGTTACGAAAGGGGTCCATTTTAAGACACTAATCTTTGATGCCATAAAATCTTACAAATCATGTACTTATGATGTCTATTCCTATAACTTTGCTAATTACTTGTTTTGAAAAAACACAGGGGCCCAGAGTGAGCGAGTGGTCTAAAGAAATCACCGTTATGGATCACTGCCATGCCACTTCTGCATGGCTTCCAGTCTCACGTTCGACCAATGTGGGTATTTGAGAAAGCTTGCTAGTAGGCAGTACTGGATTTACCATTGTGATAAGGTGTGCTTATGCCCAGGGCCCCTTTTTGGTCGGGTTGGGAGGATGCATCTTCTTGGCAAAAAAATGTACGATGAATGTTTTAAAAGTCTGTGGTTATTTTTTGCCTAACTACGTGTGTGAGCCTACCGGGCTTGCCTCCTCATAACTTAACTAGCACAGGACCTCGTGTGTCCTAAATCCGGCACTGCCAGTAGGTGGTTCTTTCTGGCGTTTTCCCGAGTTCTTCCTTTACCATTTATGCCGACCGCCATGCATAGCCTATATTGCGCTGAAAATGACATTAAAGCCTACAACAACAACAACAACAACAACAGCAACAGCAACAAGTTTCCCTACACGGACTCCATAATAAGCTCCTAATCACCAAAATCCAACAAAGCTATAAACACAGACGTAAATAAGACATACCCTAGTTTATTACAATATTTCTCAAAACGAGTAATTAACAAAGTACTATGAACAATTAGTTGTAATGTAAAGTGTTCATGAGACTTATGATCGAATGGATTAGTTTCGTTCTGAACATTCTTGGGATACTCAAGCGTACAAGTGTTTAGCCAAAAGAAATTTGAATTTTGTCTGTATTAAGCATTTGGACATGAAATAACCATCTGCGATTCTGAAAAAGCAAACTGATAAATCACAGGATTGTGAGACTAGGAATAACAATAAAATATCAAATTATACTTTCGTGAATTTGTGGTCGTTAGTTCATTGAATGGGTTTACAAACGGTTGACAACGGTTGTTGTATTGAAAGACACACGTTGCTATTTGTATGAAAAAATGGGAACCAGCCCGGATTGGTTAATAATGTAAGTTATTTTTTTTTTAGGAAAAAGAATTTTTAAGAACTTATTCTTGTTGTAACTGAAAAAAAGATAGAGACATTGTTTTAGTGATGGAATTTCAGTCATTACATCAATCAGCACCTGACTCTTTGGTGCGGAATTGAAAGCATATGTTTTAAACGCATGTAGGTCGAGAAAATATCGCTAATCATATCTTTTTATCTGCACGGAAGTTGACATCGAGGCAGTGCCGTTTTAAAGCATAGGCACGTGAGGCAAGTGCCTATGGCCCCGCGCAGCAGGGTCTCCTCTACAACCCATACACAAAATTTTGGTGTCAGTTGTGTTAGCAGTTTAGTACTATATTGATAAATTACAAAATGCCACATATGCACATGGAAATGCAATGCAAAACTCTATATCTGAGACTGAGGCACAATTCTCGTTACTTTTAAGGTTAGAGTTTGTGCCTAGGGCCCCCAAACTTTTTAAAACGACTCAGCATCCAGATTTCATGTATACTGATAAATAAAAATTTTAAAAATTTAAAAATATTGAATTTTTAATACCATCGAGTTTGCAAAGGTTTACTATGGGAACTGAATTAGTACCGTGAATCCTGAAGCCAGCATCAGTGTGCTTTTTTGTGAGGCGCTCTGTGACTGCTTGCGTATTACAATGCTAATTATATTGCGTAACAGTGTTGATTAGCATTTATGTTTCATCTATGTATACATACATTTGGTGACCTGACAACAATAAACGTGGAACAAAGACTCACTGGATTTGATTGTTCTGTGTTGTCTCTTTTCGACCAAAGATACATTTAACAAGGCTTTATCACTAAGTAACTTCATCGACAAGCTATATAGTTTACCTATTATTTTCTTAGCGACGTTTATGCATCATAAATGTCATTCACAAACAAGAATTGAGTACACCAAGTCAAGAGAGTCTTCAGCAAAAAAAAAAAAAAAACGAGACAAGATGATTGGTTACTAGATATCTTTCAGGATATACGGTACAAATTGTATTGATAAATGGGAACCAGCCTAGAAATCGGTAAACATTAAAAAGAGTATATACAGTTTTGGGTGACCAGGAAAAAGACTCTTTTGAGACCTTATCCTAGTTGAAAGTGAATAAAAACAAAAAAACATTTGAAGTTATTGAATTTTAATAGCACGGTGTTTGCATAGGTTTACTATTGGAACTGAATTAGCACCATAATTCCTTCAACCGTATATCATAACACTAGTAGCAGTAGCAGCAACAATAGTAGTAGTAGAAACTATTTAACTAAAGTTAATTTCGCAATATTTAGAGCAGTGGTTCTCAAACTTTTTAGGGCCACTGTCCCCTTAGTTATCCTCAGCGCCCACTGCCTTATTCAGTAAAAACAGTATGCAGCTTTAGCACTACCCTCGGTAATCCCACCTCCCCTTTCCTTTTTGGGTACCAATGATTTAGAGAAACGGAATAACATTAATCAAAACAATATTTCTCACCTACTTTAATTTTATCATTACAAAATAACAACCAAACAGAAATTAAATTGATACTCAGAAATAATTCCTTTAAGTTTTATTGGACATAGTCAGCGCGAATAGAACTGGGTAAAGAACCTTCTTCTCGATATTATTGTTGCATGACAAGGAGCGTATTTGCAGTAAATCACAGTTCGCTCTAATATCTCGTGTGCCGCAAGATGCTACAACAAGAAGCTTGGAATTATATATTTTAGTTATGCACGAGCAGGAAGAATCTAAAATGCACGTGACCCCCTGTTACGATCCTGTAGTTAAATTGTGTGTGTTAAGGAAACAATTTTGTATAAATCTTTTTATTTCATTTTTTTTATTACATGTAATTATTAATATGGTTAAATTAATATCAGTCTAATATGTCGTTGAAAACATTGTGTTTACTTGAGTCGTAGATGTCACTATGTGAGCACGTGCTGTGTATGATAACAAATTCATTACAAGTAAACATTCTGGAATAGCTATCAAAACGATTGGCTGATACTGGGTCAGGCTTTCCTAATGTCCAGAAGTATTACGAAATTGCATGCGTCCTCGTGCGCGTGCAATTCAAACAACGTATTAGCTTCATTTATATGTTTGAGATTTTTGTTAAGACGTACACACTGACAGACATTGGTAGTCGAGAATCAACAGTCGATAGTCGTAATCAAATCATACACAAACGTAGAGTCAATTATATAACTTCTATCACCTTAAAAAAGGTATATTTGTGCTAGAAGTTGTCTGTTCGTATTTTTACGTAGAACATGTTTTTATTAGAGGAGCTAATTTTACATCGTTTCTTCTGAATAACCGTTTTCCTGGAGAACAACTTTACTGATTTGAACAAAAACATTTTCCCGAAAGCATTCTAAATTGGAACGGAACAACACAAACTGTGCTTTATTGTGTTAATTCTGGAATGTTCTGTTAGCTTTCGTCTGACATGATCATCCGCCATTTTGGACCGGAACTTCAGACACTTCAGACTTGTATTTCTATTTTGAACAAAAATTGAATCATTTCTGTAAACCGTAAGTCTTGCTTAAATTATTTACATTATTTCATGTTTTCTAGGAAAACAAATTTTTTATTAAAATTTACAAAACGTGTCTTCACTTTCTTTTATGTTACTTTGAACAAGCTGATACGTAACACACACCCCCATTGACCTATGGATCTAGAATGTATGTGAAACAATTAATAAACGAAAACTGATATATCACTTTATATGTATCAAGTTTAAATATTGGAATTCTGCTCTATAAAAAAACCCACTTCTACCAACACAAAACCCACAACCCCTAAATGTGAAAATTTTGACAGATGTTTGCCGTGAATATAGCGATATTTCCTAAAGTATACATGGGTATTACGGTATTGTGTACATGCATTTTACCTCTAAAAGTATACATGGATGTTACTGTATTATGTATACATGTATTTAACCTCTAAAAGATACTGATTTTTTTTCCTCAAGGTATTTTGACGAGAAAGAAACACATATTCGGAGATGTGCAAGCGGAATCAAGTCTTGTTCTTTCATGTCACTAGGGTTGGTGTCACCCAGTGCTCTAACTCATAGTGTCACCCCCATGGACATGGTCGCCCGCAGATGTCTTTTTTTGCAGGGGTAGTCGGAGGTCAG